CCCCCCCTAAATAATGTCAGAAAGCTGCTTGCTGGACTACCCCCTGTGCTTGAATGGTTTTTTTGTTCTTCAATACTTTTGAATAAGGGATTTTATAAAGAAAGTGCGCGCTGACTTTTGGAAACTTTTGGAAGGCTTCAAAACTAAAGAGCTTAGGAAAAGTAAATAAGGAATAGAGGGTGAGTAAAGCAAATCAAAAGGCAAAGAACAGGAATAACGATTTAAAGCCTCAAATCTCTAGACATTATTCTAGGGCCCCCCCTAAATAATGTCAGTAAGCTGCTTGCTGGACTACCCCCTTTGCTTGAATGATTTTTTTTGTTTTCAATACTTTTGAATAAGGGATTTTATAAAGAAAGTGCGCACTGACTTTTGGAAACTTTTGGAAAGCTTCAAAACTAAAGAGCTTAGGAAAAGTTAATAAGGAATAGAGGGTGAGTAAAGCAAATCAAAAGGGAAAAAGTAAACTATAACAATAAAGAATATTCCACTACAACTACCCAAACTCACCCAAAAAAAAGACATTATTCTAGGGGCCTTTATAAATCAGTGCAGGGAAAAAAATACATTATTCTAGGGGGGTTTATAAATCTGAGGGCCACATTAACTGTGACCAACGCACTGACAGAAACTCAGCTCGAGATGGCTAGGGCAGCTAGGGCCTGTAGAGCTCCTGGCCTTACTAGGAACAAGAACCTACTAGGAGCTCCTGGCATCGCTACTGGGAGCAAGGACGCTACTAGGAACAAGTGCATCGCTAGTAGTAACAAGTGCCTTACTAGTAGTAACAAGGACGCTACTAGGGACTGAACAATTTCGATCCCGTGAGTCGGCAAGAGTGAGCGCATGGACCACGTGAGACCCACAACCAACTTGGCGAAAAACCGCCACAACGTTTGGCTCAAGAAAAGGACCGCACACACATCCGTGACGCTACTCCCATGGGTTATGAGCCCAAGGATCTTTTGACGCCATGACATCGTCGACGTTACGGAGAAGAAGATCGAAAACACCAACGGCTGATGAGCAGCTGGACGCCATGCTAGAAGCCGCGAGGGACCAACCTCGGAGAGCCCAGAGCTTGGAACCGAGCAGAACGATGACACCATCCCTGAAGAGAACATCCTATGCAGCGGTTACAAACACGCCGGCGGAGAGAAGACAGGTGGAAGAACAAAGGGCACTGCCTGCGCCAGAAGATCCTCGTGAACTGGGGCCTCGAGGCCCTCCGCAGGTGTTCATGCCGATGGTTCCGCCTTTGCCTACCTTCCCACAGGTGCCTATGGTGGGTGGACTACAACCCGCTCTACCTGCACCAGCCGGTCCTGGACAAGTTGGAGGGCGCGATGGTGGTGGGGGCATGCCTTCTCTACTTCAACCGGTTCAAGAACAAGCTTGGGGGATGCTCGCAGGTTTGGAACCCTACCCTGGAATGTGGGGGACTGGCAGCTCTGCAGACCAATTGCCGGTGGCGCCTCAAGGACGTCGAGAAGAACTACCTGAAGGAGGTACATCGGTGAAGGGACCTGGGGGAGTTGATCCTCGGGAAATTGGTGGTGGTCGTGAACGGGTTCTCGAAGAGACGAAAGGTTCTGTGAAGAGCTCACCACTGAATCCCTGGTCCGCAGAGAAGATGAGGGAACTTCATGATCAAGCTCGTCCAAGCGATCCTCGGGGACAAGGTCAACAACCTCGTGACGGCGGTGATCAAGTCGAACGTCTTCGTGAACGATGTCTGAAGGAGGCCGAAGCGAAATTCCAAGAAGAAGTTCGCAAGTTGGGACAACAGAGCTCGAACTCGTCGTTCCAATCGGCAGTGGAAGCTCCTGGAGGCAAAGTCCAAGGTGATCGAGTTCAACCAGGTGGAGAAGCTGATGGAGATGTGAAGACCACTGCGCCCATAGTCAATGTGGGTCCCCATGGCGTAGGCGTTGGGTCGGTAGCATATCCATGGCCCTATCCTCCTGGACTACCCGGACTACCTCCATGGGGAAATGGTGTGTGTGGCATTTTTGCCAATGGAAATCCATCAAGTGCAAATGGCATGTGGATGCCAGCTGAGGAATCACTGGGCGACAACGCTCGGTCGGTGGAATTGCCAGTGCTGGGCTTGGATGCCACGGCGCTGACGTTTGGTGACTGGTTGACTACCCTGGAGCCCATCGTGTCGGAGATCAGCCAAGGGGCCAATCAATGGTGGCAGTTGACCTTAAAGAATGTGGAGCAGGCCTACGAAGCGTGGTTGGTGGCAGATCCTCTACAGCGCTTGCGTCTTGGCCCTGCACCTGCAGAAGAGGCGAACAAATGGCCTCGAACAGAAAGAAGGATGCTCAGCCTGTTGCTACAAGCGGTGCCCGACACTGTGAAATCTGAGGTCATCACGGCTCGCAAAATGACAGTTGCTCAGGTGTTGTTCATCCTCTACATAAAATTTCAACCTGGAGGACAAGGTGAACGAATGAACCTCATTAAGAACTTGACCGAGCTCAAGCTGACCCAAAACATGGGCGACGTGGTGCAGGTCCTTCGAACCTGGCGGCGTTGGTGGAATCGCTCGGAGGAGTTGGGGGTGCTTCTTCCGGATCCAGTGGTCCTTGCAGGGGTGTTGGTGAAGGCTTCAGACCATTTGGCGAAGTCTGGAGCTCAGGTGGCCTATCGACTGGCGACGAGCAGGCAGCAGTTGCTGATCGACACCAGGCCTACGTTGGATAACCTCAAGATCTTCGCGGAGTTCCTACAAGCGGAGGCGGAAGAGCTAGCGATGGGATCAGGAACTGGAGTGGGACAAGG